CCGTCGGCCGCCCTTTATCTATTTGAGTGTAGGGTAACGCTACAACTTTACAAGCATGTCGAAAACATTATTACAATGTTTATTCTTCAAGTAGACATGGGTCAACGGTGTCCCGTAATTCAGCCGTAGCCAAACTACCAAACTATCCTATCGGCTTCCTCTTCAAAGAACCTCATGTCCTCTAATTGATATCATGTTCAACATGTTCCATCCTCCACCGCTCCCCACCTCACCCTTCCCGCTACAGCACTGGCCTTTCAAGCCTCTGTCACAATACCCATCTCTCGTTACTAGGCATTCCCAAATTGAGACATGGCCCCATAAGGAGTATGAAACACACCCTCAAATCCTATTCCTCGCCATCCCATGCTGCCGGCCCAAATATGAAAGCAGACAAAAAAAGGCATAAAAATGACTTGATGATAACTAAAGCCAATCAAACCAAAATCACAAAAAGTTTTAAAAAATAAAAGCTCAAGGACGAGAAAACGTCCATGTTGTCCGGATACTCCTCGAGGCGCCGATACCGTGATATTCTTTTTTGCTGTTGTGGATTGTAACGTGCTTGCGAAGTCGTGACTGTATTCAGTTACTCCTCCCCGACTGGATAAAGATGGTTGCCAATCTCTTTGTTCATCTTGAACATGTCCACCCTGGCTTGTTTGAACACAGCCTGCATCTTGGCGTCGCACCGGATTTGTCGTTTGTCTGCCGGATCTTGAAGGTCGTTGGCTTTGATGTGTTCCCAAAGTTTTTTGACGACTTGCGGGCGGGAGAGCTGTATTTGTTAGTTGGCTCAATTTAGGGCAAATAGTTGATGCGCTGCTTACTTGCGTCTCGCCACAAATGTCAGACAGCGTAGAGCTTAGATTAAATGGTTTCTGGAAACCACCACCGGCCTTGCGCTTCTTTACGCCAGACTCTCCGCTGCCGTTCACATCGCTATCATCATCGTCGCGGACCTTTTTGGAGCTCTTCTTGCGTGGCGCTTTTCGCTTCTTCACAGCCCGGTCACCACCTCCACGGGTGGTTCGTCCACGGGCCAAGCTATTCTCTTGAGCCTGAAGCTGGGCAGCTAGGCGCGCATCCGCGTCTTCAGACGGGGACGCTCGCTTCGCCTTCTTTTTTGCTGGCTCCGGCGAGGCAGAAGGGTCGGTCTCGTCGTAGGCTGAGACACCATTAGACCGCTTATGAGGCGATGGCTCTGGGACATCTTCGACATCAGCCCCAGAGACGGCATCGAAACGAGCTTCGATTAGACGCTTAATCGCCTCCTGCATCCCGTTAGTGCGCCGTCAAACTCACACCCACACTACCCCACCAGCACGAGTGCATTGTAGAAGCAGGCACTTATGATCAACTCGCACCTTCTGTTCGCTCAAGTCTTTGCCGCCAAGTCGGCCCTCCAACGCTTGTCGGACCTTTTTACGAGAAATGGTCTCGAGATCGGCAGTCGCCAAGATATCATCGATGATCTCGGTATAGCGTTCCTGCTCATCGGGAGTCACTGCAAGGAGCATACTGTTAAAAGAGGGCTTCAAGATATAGTGGAGAGGTGACAACGTACAAGGAGCAGACATGATTGTCAGCGGCGGCTACCGATGCTGATTTCTTCGAATCTAATCGCACGCGCGGGCAGGCGGAAGGATCTAAAAAAAAAGAAGAAGAAAAGTGGCAGGGCCCTAAGCAAGCCAGAAAGAAGACGTCTGTTGCAAAGAATTCAAACTGTCAGAGCATAGTCCGCCGCAAAGGCTTCGTAGTCCCACCCGTTAGGCTTTGCAACCAAGACTCGTGATGCGGAGAACAGAGGACGTAAAAGTTGACCAGCCAGCTATTAACGAAGGTGGGTGTGGATGTCGCGGGTGGAATTCGATGACGGCAGATAAAAAATCACTGGTATAATTTATCGGAAAGGCTTCGCGATGGGCAGGATCGGTGTTCAGATGGTTTGACGGACTTGATGGGGACGCTGAATGGGGACGCTGAAAGCGTCGATCGTTCGACAAAGGGCAATTGGGTATCTTGGCTTGCGCAGACGGTATAGGTATAAGAGGGTGAGAGGAGCAGGGCGAATGAGAAATGACCAAGTTGGAGGGAGAAAAAAAATCAGACGGGTTAAATTAGTAGCTGGGACAATGCGGACGTTGGTCTGCGAAGCAGGTGAGGGGAGGGCGTAGAGGACGTGAAGCCGTGAAGACGTCGTGGAGGCGGCTGCGGCTGCGGTTGTGAACGAGCACGAGGGCGGAGGTCGCGCTTGCCGTGCCGAACAGATATCGCACATAGAAGAGACTGTGAGTGTACCAGTCCGCCTTTGTGGCTGGCACCTGCGAGGCTACAGCGGACTGACCGAGCTCGGGCGTGTGGGGTTGCCAATTAAAGCACACAGGAGTTGCCCGAGCCACACCGACGCCACAGCTACAGCTGCCTTAGCCAATGGCAGAACCGAATTGAGACAATCGAGCGGCAGCCTTGTCACGTGGGCATCGAGAAGGACGTGTTCAAAGACGTTGGGCGTGTGTCATGCTCACACAAGTTTCACGGCAAAGTCAAAGAAGAAGCAAGGTGATGGGTGCCTGTTGCACGGAACGTCATGCCATGTCACTCTACAGGTACGTAACTCCTAGGCGCCACGGTTCAAGCTCATGTACTGAAGTCTTAGGCCAGGCTAAGTACCTAGGTCAGAGTGCTCCCCTGCTAATCCTGCGCCACCGAGCCGCGCCTAGATCCGGCCCCCTGCCCGGCCTGGATGGCGTTTGGCGATTCTGGCCGTTTACACTACACGTTTTTGGTCTGTACCCGTCTTCGTCATGACCGCAAATAGTCGCAAACCGGCTTCCCCCATCGAACTGCCGATTTGTACCTCCACATGCCCGGTGCATTCCCCGACTTCAAGCCCTCAATAGCATCGGCCAGCTCTGGGCCTGACCCCTGCTCTCTGATTTGTCGAATACCGTACAGGTACGTCTTGAACGAGAACAAGACGGCTTGCGTCCTGGGCAGCCGCGTCAAGGTTTGGAGCTCCACGCGGAGATATGTCTGCCGCAAGTCAGCTGGAATATGCGTTGCACGTGGTGCGTCCCGACGTTACCTGGTTCACATTTATGCTGTCTTCCGAAACAACCTCCGCCGCGTCGTCTTTGATGTGGTTTCCCAGCGTATACAAGTCGTTGTTGGTTTGAACGGACCACTGGCGAGGAATTGTTAAAAGACTGCTTAGGACAAAGCGGGAGCCCCATCTCCGTTTGACGGTAAAAAAAGACGTACATTTAACCGCTTCACGCTTTTCCCCACCTGAAGCTTGCTGAAAAATCGCTCCATGCTCGCGCCAATCTTGGAGTAAGACGGGACGGGAGCGTGTATGTCCTTGAGCAAGTTGCCGAACTTCTCGGACGGATCAAACCCGGACGGGAAACAGCACATGAAGGCCACGCAGAGATGACCGCCGGGTGTTTCATGCAAGAGGAACAGATCCTCCTCGACTGTCTCTCCCAATGTTCGAAGCGCAGCGTCTGCATCTTCCGGCGGTTGGATGGGGAATGTTCTACCCGTTACCGTGTTTTCGAAAACGGTCCCGTTGGGGCCTATTCTGAACATTGTGGGGTACCGGGCGGGCAAGTAGTCTCGCAAGAGGTACGTGTACAGCTCGGCCACGGACTCTTTGCCTCGGGGCAGGTATCCGTGGACTGCGTGGCCCTTTTCGTCAATGAGACTACGCCGAAGGGTCACCCTGTCTAGGTAGTCTCTGTCGATGGTGATGAGCCTCGAGGGCGTGTCTTGTTGAAGAGCTGTGTCCTCGTTTTAGCGGGAACTCTCGTCATGTTGGACGGCTGAGGGAGCGAACTCACCCATGGTGATGTGGTACACCGGCTTGATGGGCAGGTATTTGGTGGGCTCTGTTGCCTGCCAATCGAACTTCTCCAAAGGCTCAATGGCCAAACTGGGCGTTTCGTCGTGTCGAGCTGGCATCCCCTCCGGTTTGGCATCGGTGCTGGTTTGCGGTTCCGTTGCTGTCCATGACTTGGCAATCTGGTAGGCGTAAGCATTGTTCCTTGACCGCCTGCTCGTTCAGCACGCAAACTATGCAAAGTACGAACAAACTTGTAAATGGCCGTGATTAATGCTAATGCAACACACACCCCAATAACGCTGTTCATGTCTGGCCGCGATATCCACGGCTTGAAGCCATGGCCAACAATGGCTGCCATGTCGTCGATCCCAGCAGGTGTGTAAGAGATCAAAGCCGTCGATAGTATTCAATCCCGGATGGACAGTAATGGACAGTAATAGGAAATAGAAAAGAAGCAAATGCAACTTCGCTCCAGCCCAACCCATTCGTACGCCTGGATGTGTGGAACAACTAGCTAGATATACACATGATGGTCCGATTGTGACTCCGACGTGGTGCAAGATGCTAGTCGATGTTAGCGGGCTCTGGCTTGGGCCTTGGGCGCAGCGTTTCAGGGCCTCTGGTGGTGAATTTGTGGATTTTCTCCGTTGAGCTGCCGAATTCGACACCCACCACGACGCTCTAGGCGACAGACTCGCGGCTCATTGGTCAACGGTGGCCATGCCGCGCGCGATGTGGACGAGAGGGACCATTCCGCGCTCCGCAGCTCCGAGTCCGGGCGCCCCATCCCATGTTGGGAGAAGCGGCGCGGGGCTGGAGCCGACTGGTCACGCCTTTTTCCAACGTCACCTCGATGCCGTCTACTCCCACGCATCGGTGTTCGGCATGTCGGCAAGCACAGGTCCAACAGGAGTGCATGTCACTGGACATGGGGTATGTGAAAGAGAGCCTTTGGTCACGACGACCGAGATTGATACCGACTATCTGGACGAAATCCTCTTTCTAGCGGCGGCCAATATCTACAACACCCGTTGACGTTGACCCTTTGACCGCCCTTGGCCGATCAACTGCCGAATGACGCATCGGTAGATATGCCGTGAGCAGCATTTAATAGCCAATGGACCTAAAGACATACCTGTAGCTGGCGACTTCTTCACTCCCCACCAAATACCCTGTCCCGGAAGCCCTTCAAGTCTCCCAGCAATTCCACCCCTTTACGACTCTTTTTACGGCTAGAAATCTCATCAATAACGCTCTGCACATGCTCGCGACATAGGGTCTCGCTCGTCGCATGGCCCAACATCTCCTTCACAACAAGGGGTTCGTCAAGCGCCATCTCCAGGGCCGTTTTACCCTCGCCGCCCGCCTCGTCCAGCTTCGCGCCGTGCTTGACGAGAACCCCAAACACGCCGACCAGCTCCGGCTCTCTCAGGTGGTAGCGGTACTGGCCGTAGAGGGCCATGATCATCGGCTCAGAGTAGCCGCCAAGACGCTGAATGTCGGCGTTGGGGTCGGCTCCCGCCTCTAGAAGCACCTCCATGCTCCCTGTGTTACGGGCGAGGCCGGCTGCGCACCAGAGCGGCGTGGCACCCACGTTTACGAACATGTGCCTCTCATCCAAATCCCTTAGAATGAAATCTGGGTCGTATCTATGGGCCGCCTCAATGTTCACGCCTCGACCCACCAGCTGCCTCACCAGGTCTGTTTGCAAGCTTTGTTTGGCGGGAAGCTTGCGGCAGGGAAGCTTGAGGCATTCGTGCAGCAGGGTCCATCCTGACGGTTCTTCGAAGCCGATGGTGTGGTCGCACCCGCAGGCGAGCAGGGCTATAGCCATGGCGTAGTTGAGGTGGCGTATGGCTATGCGAAAAGCCGTCTCAGATGTCGGCGATTCCTGGTCAATGGGAATGCCAATGCTCATGAGCTCCCTGATGGTCTGTTCTGCTTCTTTAACCATGTCGGCGTCGGGTGATGCTTTCTTGTTCATCTGGTCGCCACCCTCACTGCTAGTCTCACTACTGCTTTCATCATCACTCTCAGATTCATAATCATCCTCATGACCAACATCATTAGTCCAATCATAGTCATCATCGTCTTCGTCGGCCTCCTTGAACTGCTCCACCTTCCTCATCATTAAATTTCCTATTGCTAGACAATGCAAGACGTTCAAGCCCGCGGCATCTACAACCAAGGGCTGGACCCCTGGATGCTTGATCAGGAAGCGAACAGCGCCGTAATTGCCACCGCACGCGGCTAGTTGTAGCGGTGTTTGACCGTCGTTGTCCCTCGAGTCTACTTTCACATCTGGGTACTGTGTGAGAGCCTTGAGAACCTCAACATGGCCAAAAATGGCTGCCCAATGGAACGGGGAGCGGCCCCTGTCGTCAATCGCGTTGACGTCTATATCGGGCCTCATGGTAAGAAGAGCGTGCAGGGCACCCACATGCCCTTCTCGTGCGGCGGACTCGAGAGGAGACCATTCGCTCTTGTGAAGAACTTTGGGATCTACGTCAGGGCGGCTGAGCAGGGCACGCACGGCGTCGGTGAGGCCCATGTAGACGGCCAGCCCCAAGAGCGAGGGGTAGTCTGACGACGAGCTTGACGGCGGCGTGGAGAGGTCCAGGTCCGGACGTCGGAGGAGATCCTGAAAGAGCGGCAAGTTGCGGCTTCTTAACGAGTACTTCAGCGTAGCCATGGTTGACTGTGGACAGCGTTGCTCGAGCAAGAGCTGGAAGAGGTCATGGTGGCCCCTCCTGCTCAGGATATCGGCCGCCGGAACGTGCTCGCTGACCAAGTAGGCCCCATGCCGAATCAGCATTGCCGCAGCTTCCTTGGCCTCGCTGCTGTGTATGAGGGCCATGTGGAGGGCATATGGCTCGCGGTGTTGGTATTCGAGGCAATCGCAGCAATTGCCTGCGGGTAGATGAACGGCGGCGCCATGCTCGAGGAGGTACTCGACAATGTCGAGATGGTCGGACGAGGCGGCCAGATGGAGAGGTGTCACTGGACCGGAGGGCGGGCCGGGGATGCCGTTCCAGCCCTTTGCGAGGACATCGCGGCCTTGAGGTCCAACAAGGTCGAGGTCTGCTCCCAGCTCGTGAGCCGTCTTGATGGTGCCCAGGACGCCGCGCGCCGCCGCCCACAGGAGGCACGAGTTGAGAACGGCGTCGCGCTGAATATTACGTTTGTACAGCGGCGGATTGAGGATGCTATACAGACGACGGCAACTCCTGGCCAGGACTGAATGGTCCCGAGCGTACGACGACATCGGGTGGCCGAACGGGGAGGACGGCGGTTTGGCGTCGCAGACCAGCCATTCGGCAATTTCGCACAGCACCTCGGCAGGCAGCGCCTCGAGACATGCCATGGCGGATTCGCAATGGCTGCGGAATGGTGAGTGAATGTCTGGTTTGAATTGTCGAGGCCGCGAGCGTCGCCACGATGTGTGGTGTTTTGCCAGTTGGTGCAGCGTGGCCGAAGTGGTGAGGTTGCACAATCGAGGGCTCCAGATGTCGTCTCGATTCGCCTATTTGTTTTATTGGTCAACAGAGCAGCGTGCAAGGATTTAATCCCAAGTCAAAGCCCCAACGGGCACCATTCACCGAGGCATCCATGCGGTCAATTATTTATCAAATATCAATAGCATGAAATAAAAATCCTTCCAGCCCTGATTCGGACCCACCAGTCGATCCCTCACAACCTCCATGTCACATCGTGAATTCGCCTCTGACCCTTTCTCTACCAAGGCAGCACCTGGCCCTGAAAAGTGACCATCGTGCCCGACACCGTGTCTCGAGTAGCGCCGTCGACAACCTCGAGGATGCCCGTGATGCTCGCTTGCACCGTCTCTGGCGGCTGGTGAGCGTACCCCCAATCCCGCGCCGCCTGTTCTCCCATGCCCGTCTGGACCCAGCCCGGGTGCAGGGCCACGGCCACCAGGCCAGACTCCTCATTCTGAAGATGAAGAGCACGGGTGATCCAATTCAGGGCCGCCTTGCTGGGGCCGTACGAGCCCCCGGACAGCTCTTGAAGCGTGATGCAGCCGACCGAGGACGTCATCATGACGACCTTGGGGCTCGCCGACCTTTGCAGCAACGGCCACAGCCCTTGGAATACCATCAGGGGCGCAATGGAATTGACCTCGAACGCGGCGCGGAGGTCGTCCGCCGCCGTCTGCACCGCAGGGACCATGGGGCTCGACATGCCGGCATTGTTAATGAGCACGTCGACACGATCGTGGCCCAGGTCGGCGACGGCCTTGCCTACTTGCTCGGGCGAGGGGGCGCGGGACAAGTCGAGCGTGATGATGTCCAGGCCGCTTCCGTCTCCTGCCCCAGCCGCAGCGGCAATCTCCTCCCCGAGGTATCTGGCGGCCTCGTCGTTTCGAACGGTGGCAATGACGCTGGTGGACGGACGGGCCAGGAGCGCCTTGACTAGCCCGAGGCCGATGCCTCTATTTCCGCCTGTGATGACATAGACTGTGTTTGCGTTGGGGGTCATGATGGTGCTGGCTGCTTGCAGATTCGTACTACGCTTTGCCACTGCGCGTGGGAGTTGGTTCATGTTGGAAGACTGGCTGACAAGACGTGTGTGAGATTATCGCGTCGTCGGAACTTTGGTTGGCCCGACATCTTGGTCAACGACAAAGAATACTGTACTGGTTGTGTATGACGAAACAAAATCCTCATACATTCTCCATTTGTTGACCAGACCACCCGTCTTGACCTGAATATGCCCCTTGGGACTACATTGAAAAGCACGGTCGGAGTCACTCACGATGGTTTCACGCGAAATGCCTATATACCAAGCAATAATAACTGGTAAGCACCGGTATTAGACATGTAAACGAGGGTATATATATAAAAGCTATGCCTAAAACATCGTGCAGCCCTTGTATCTGTATGGGGGGCTTCTTTGAATTGAGTTAGCGACCAGACGAAAAACGCCCATCTAGTTTTCAACAGTGGAATAAAATCTCCAAAAAAAATGCCATTTATAATGGAGGGCCAGCGTCATGATGGCAGTGTAGGTTGCTGGGGGAGAACGCAACGGCTCCTACGCGTCCTTGATGGCACCGTCCCTTTCCGCCTTCTCGATGAGGGGAGGAGGGCGAGGGATCTTCTGGAAGAAGACATATCGCTTGATAAACCACGGAAGCCACACGGTGGCCTCGTAGTGAATGAATTTCTTGGTCGGGACCGAAAAGACCTCTGCGCGCCGTGTTAGTGCCATCTACAACTATGAACAAGTAGGCATTACTTACGGTCCAGCTCTTCCAGAGTCAGTTGTTTGGTCTCCCGCACGAAGCAGAATATCATGACCCAAGCAACAAGGTTGAGGCCGGCGTAGAAACCAACTGTAAGATAGAGGTTAGAGATACTAGCTAGTACTTGTGCCAGAAAAGGAAACATCTCGGCAGTCCACTTACATGCACCGGTGGACGTCATGACGGTTTTCATCCGCGGGAAAGTCAAGCCAAGGATACCAGCTGCCAAAGAAACGAAAATTCATTAACACAAGCAATGTATTGCCAAGTTGTACCAGGGGGGTAAAACTCACCAAAGGTGTTGTTGATGCAGACAGCCCAGGCCATTCCCTGCTCACGCTGAATCGTGGGAAAGACCTCGGCCGAGTACTGGAAGGCAACTGGCCCCTCACCCAAGGAGTAGCAAATAGTAAACAGGTAGACGAACCTAGGTGATTCAAGGACCCGGTCAGAAGGATTCACAGCCACTAGCCAAGTTATCTGTCGAAGGGTTGTGGGATACTTACAACACGACAGGTCCGATTCTCGCCCCGCGGGATCTCATGTCGCCGGCAGGGTTCTGATCGCCTTGGGCAGTGATATGGTAAGCACCATTGGGGAGCAGCGAAAGGCCGGCAGCCAGGAGGAATATACACATGAGAGGAAAGGTCTTTTCGAGGGAATGTCAGCGCACAAAAACACATTTTTCTTATGCCACCACGAGTTTATGAGGGGACGTACGATCATGGTCAGGGTTCTCCGCCCCTTGGTATCAATAAGGAAGAGAGTAGGAATGGTGGCCACGACTTGGACAGCTCCGTATCCGAGAGACGCGTACAACGCCTCGGTGGCCGAGTAGCCGACGCTCTCAAAGATGGATGAGCTGTAGAAGGAGATGACTAGACGAGCGATTGTCAGTTTTCCGCCTCCAACAAAGGGGGGGGGGGGGGGGGGGGAAGCAAACGAACTGTTGATTCCACACATTTGCTGCGCTATCATGACGGTAGAGGCACCATAGTTTGCGCGCCGGATCCGAGGAACGGCAAAGCAGTCCCACAAGCGGGAGAAGTAGCCAGCGCCACGGGCCTCCTTCTTCTCCTCCTCGTAGATGACGTGGGAGTAGTAAAAGTCCCTCGCGGCAATGATGGGATGGGCTCGGAGACGCAGCATGGAGCGGAACCCCTCGTCGTGCCTGTTGTGCTTCATGAGCCACCGCGGCGACTCGGGGCAGAAGAAGATGCCCAGCATGAGGACAAAGGACGGGATGAAGGCCGAGCCGAACTGCAGGCGCCAGGCGTTGTCGCCCACGTCCTTGACAATGACGTTGGCCGCGAAGCCCAGGAAAATGCCTGCGGGCAAAATGGAGTGTTAGCAACTTGGTTGGTCACGCGTAGCGGCGACAACAACAACAACAACGGGCGCAGAGCAAGACGTACCGGCCACGACCCAGAGCTGCCAGAACATGACGAGGGCGCCGCGAGTCCTGGCCGGGGCCATCTCGGCCGAGTAGATGGGCACCGTGGCGTTCTTGGCGCCGATGCCGATGCCCATGACGAACCTGGCGGCGAAGAGGCCCTGCCACGACTTGGCAAAGGCAGACCCGATGGGCGTGGCCGTGAGACAGGCGGCCGTGACGAAGATCTCGCCTCTGCGGCCCAGATAGTGGTTCAGCGGATCTACGATGAAGGCGCCGCTGCAGAGCGAGGTCGTGTTGGTCAGTACTGACATTGAAGCCGTGGAGGAGGAGCACGTACATGAGGCCGGCCGTGAGGAAGATGATGGAGTTGACCAGCCCAACGATCCACTCGTCTCTGCCCTCGCCGGCAATGCCAAATTCCTGGGGAAAGGACAAGTTGGCGCCATTGGCACCGGTCTGATCCCATCCCTGGGTCGCCGCCCCGACGGCACAGAGGCCGATCGAGTACCACAGCATAAAGGGCCCATGCCACTTGTGGTCTCTCTCGTACTGCAGGGCGCCGCGCTCTTCCTCGTCGAGTTCCGAAATCATCTCGAACCTCTGCGGATCGCGGGCCACCAGGGCGGCGCGGCCAAAGAGCGCGGCGTGCTCAGACATGCCGTGTGTCTCGGCAAAGGCCCTGGCATCGCGGACGTTGTCGTCTTCTGATTTGCGCTACAACGGACCGTGTTAGTCGCATCATACGTGCTAGCAGACCAGCGAGGAGAGTGTGCCTACCTTGAGCGGATTCTCAATGATGTTGAGAGCGGCAGACCCCCGGCGACCCTGTTGCTCGTCGTGGTGCAAGACAGGCTCCGTGTAGCCCGGCGGTTCAGCAGACGCTTTCTTCTCCATGGCGGACTGTGTGAGAGGTTTGACACACACAATTGAGGGCTTGGGAGTCTCGGGGGCGAGGGTTCAACTTCCAAGGGTGAGCAAGAATCGCGGCGAGGTGCTGCTCGCTACTTATCAACCACATGGCATCTTCTACACCGGGCACAAGACGGCGAGCCTTTGCCCCCCTTGCAAAGACGCAGCAATCATCGGCCTGTCACAAGCACGGTGAACAGCACGCTTTGCCTTCACCAACGCCCGTTGACGTCAGTCTAGCAAGGGGGGACGGTCGTTGGCTCTATAAGAGCTAGTACTGAACGCGCTTGTCAGCACTGTTGGATCCTAGTTTCCTAACTACTAATACGTCCTGTCAGTCGATCAAACATTGCGGAGGTGGAGTTTATGAGTTGATATCGTCTCCACCGGTCAGCACCAGACTCGAGTATGGAATTGATTGCTCGAGTTCCCTCCACATGACTGCATGGATGGCTCTTACTTCCCAGCCCGTCGCCGTAGATCATGGCAACTTTGAGCCTGGGTTGACCCGCTGTTTCGCAGCCTCGTGGCCTCGGGGGGAAGTGCTCAGTGAGGCATCCCGAGGTGTCACCGTGTGAGTGATGTTGTAGTTTGTTGTCCAACCTTGTCTCGAGCTTAAAAGCCAATCTGAGACATGCCCGCCCGGGGAACTCTCGAATGCCTTTGTTGCTGGTGTGGTTGGTCTCATGCGAGAACACCTCTGGCAACTCCCCAACGTGGCGCCGGGACGAGATAAACGCCATCCGGGACAAGACCAAGACGACCATCGGCTCCCGGATATAGGCAGCAGCATTCCCTACAATATGAGTGGCTGCGCTGCGGCCCGCCTCCTCAGCTCCATGGGGATAAATAACCTGATGCCGAGCGACGGCGCGGGGGCTGCTTCTGTGGCCGGGTTTATCCTTGCCCAGCCAACCTCTGCCGCTCGTCTGAAGCTTGGTCAGAGGCGGAACGTTTGAAGAGTCTTCTTGCTGGTGTGTCTCACAGCCATGGCTGTTGGTCGGCAACGGGGTCTTGTTTGAAGCAAATTGACCACAAGGCGCCCGCAACTCACCACCAAGGCGTGGCAAAAGAAACGAGGGGCACAACGAACGGATGAAACGGAGGCTTGACCAATGAAGAAAGGGATCCGTCTCACCAAAACCTTGAACCGTCCGAATGATCAAAAATATACTCCGTAGCCGGCCAGACTCCACTCTCGATGCATCATGGACTTTGGACCGAATTCACCGAGTAAAGTGGGCTTCTTCACTTGGTGCCTTGTTAGTCTGCAAACGGTCAGCCATGCCATGTTGTTATTTGCATTAATGGTGTGCAAATACGATACTATGTAAACCGACGCCACTGCCTTCTTTGCTAGTGAAGATGAGGACTCGAGCCCACGGCTTTCGACAAGACAACGAACGATCTAAAACGACTACGAATAGTCAAGCTAGTTTGTAGAACCTATGCCCATCGTCTCTCTGTCTGCAAACCAGTCGTGTGCTTCTGACTCTTTGCTTTGGGTAGCTCTCTACTGGGGCCAAGTAGAGGGAAAGACCAAGGAAAAACAAAACCGATATATCAAGTATGCTCTTAGGCTTCTCATCCCATCACCTTGGATTCTATGAGCTGATTACCGACTCTCTCTCCCTCCCTCCGTCTTACCGCAAAGCCAAGATTCTCAAACTTACTTGGCTGTGCGTGGAGACTGAGCGACCAACACACTGCATGCAGTCGGCGATCCAGGGTCCAAGGACTGAACCGTCTCGTAGAGTCATCATATGATTATAGTAAGAAGCAAAAAGACTTGGGTATGTCCCGCTTGGCCAGGTATCTGAACAGTCTATCCGGTGCAAACAAACCGCTATGCAAATCCCCCACCGAAAACGCCAATCCATAACCATCTATCCCAGAGCGAACCGAGCCGAAACCCACGGCCAATCCCATGCAACTCTACGCCATCCACGCCGGCAAATAGTACCTCACATTCTCGTAAACCAAAAACGTCACCCACGTAGCCGGCATCACCCTCACCACGCCGGGCACCAACCCTCTGTAAAACCCAACCACGCCCTCTTCCATCCAGATCCTCCTCACGACGCCTCTGATTCCCCTCCCAAACCTCTCGTCGGCGCGGTAATTCTGCATCCTGCTCCGCAGAACCTGATACGGGTACGTCACCGCGCCGGCCACCAGCTTGGCCACGCTGGATATCACAACGGTAGCCTCGTTGGTCAGCCGCGGGTTCACGTCCCCCTCGGCGATGCGGTTGTTAAAGTACACCCTCTTGGCGGGCTCGTACACGGCGAACTGGACGGCGCCGTGGGAGACGCCCAGCAGCGAGACGGCAAGGCCTCTGTAGAAGCCGCGCACGCCCTCGGTGCGCAGGATCGTCCGCGCGCCGGCCAGCATGGAGGGGTAGGCGCCCGCGGAGCCCTTGTCCGACGAGAGCATGCGCGTCTTGAGCACCCAGATGGGGTTGGTGAGCACCGAGGTCGAGGCGCCGGCGAGGGCAGAGGCCAGGAAGTAGTCTGCCGCCGAGGGACGGACGCGGCGGTTGGCGTGGGCGATGGCGCGCTCGAAGCGGGACTTGAAGAAGAAGAAGGACGCCCAGGACGTGGCGTTGCCGACGAGGTTGGGCGTGAGGCCGCGGTAGAGGGAGAGGACGGGCCGGCTGTTGGACGTGAGGGAGCGCAGGATGGTGACTGTTGTCGGGGGCGAGGCCGGCTGCCCGGCGCTGCGGTGGACTGGGCCGCGTCAACTTGTTAGCATGAAAATGAATACAATGCATCAAAAATATATTCTACAGCCGGCAGGGCTTTGCGGGAAAATAAAAAGGAAGGGGAAAGGGGGGGATGAGGGCGACGAGGTTGGACCAACTCTGCATTCGCGTCTTGACTATGTCCAAGGGATGCACAACCAAGGTCGAAATCACACCGGCGCTGAGGCCGGCAACGCTCTCGACGACGGCGGGAGACAGACCCCCATGGTGATGGTCCCGCATATAGAGATTGAGATTGTATCCGGGTGTTTCGGGGTGCGCGTTGCCTACATTGTCGACGGAGAGTATGGAACCTGCCATCAGAAGCGTTGGAAAGGTTGAGGTGGGAACTTTTTTTTTTGTTGGAGCTCGGATAGCTTCGGACTTGAGCTACGTCCAGACCACGGCCACGACAACACAACACCATAAGGGGCCAATCGCACTCATGTCGCATGGAATCAAACAAGAAATGCACAGTCAATTTTACAAACCGGCGTTGGGTGAATGTGGAACAAGTATCAATTCCAAGAGTGGTCGGTCCAATTATGCACCATTTTAATACATCTGCCCTCTGTCCATCATCATACAATGGCGGCAATAATCATAACGCCCTGCACGCAGGGCCATGTACGCAGCTTCATCCATGCCGAGGTGTTCTATTTTCTCCCCTCTGCCATGCCCCCCGAACGTTGATAGTAATACAAGCGGCTGAGCCGTCAAACAAAATCGCTGCTTAAGAAAGGGGTGACAGGAGGCTGTTCAGGCAGTTAGCATCAAGAGCGCACGAAGCGAAGCGCATCAGAGCACATAAGCGTACCGGATGATGGAAGGACGAGGGTCGCTGCGAGTATAGCCTGCTACAATCAGTATTCGCTTTCGACTTGGTCCGCATCGTCGGGTCATCCTACCGAGGTACAAGATCAGGGGGAGGTAGCCACTGCCAGCTGGTTAGTACAATCAATCCCAGAAACATAACAAAGAATGAATCGACAAAAAGAGGAACGTACTAGTGAATAGCGACGCGCGAAACGTCAATGAGCTTGGCAATTCGCTCCTGGTACTGTTAGCATCCCCCGTCTGGCCCGTGGAAAAACACACCGTCTCGCGAACCTTGGACTCTTCAGACAGAGCAAACATCTTGGCGGAATCTATTTGAGAGCAATGAAAAACAAGAAGCCACTCGTAGCTGAATCGTCAAAAAGTACCGAGTAAGACAGATGAGCTATTGTCACTGCTAGATAAATATCGGGTCCGCCCAAGGCAGAGGAGAAGAAAAAAAAAAAAAGGCGAGAGCCGCTATCGCTGCGCCCGGACTAACTTCGGCAAAAGTCCCCAGCTCAACTTTCTCGATCCCATTTGCTATACAGCTTCACACCTGCGATTATATAAAATTCACAAACACCGCCCGCCGCGCCCAATACGGTCCCCAGTCCCGAATACGCAGCTGCACAATTCTCCATAAGTGGTAGGAAAGGCCCGTCTTTCCACGCCGCCGTCAAAATGGCACAAAATAGACATTGGTACGTTGTTCCCTCCCCATCGCCATCCCGCCACAACGCATTAACTAACACGCAGCCCAGGGAACAAGACAAAGAAGCGACAATCTACATAGGCAACATTGACGAGCGCGCCACGACAGCAACCATCTACGAAATCATGCTCCAGATGGGCCCCATCCACAACATCCACATGCCGCGTGACCGCGTCACCCAGAACCACCAAGGCTTCGGCTTCGTCGAATTCCGCACGCCCTCGGACGCCGAGTACGCGGCCAACGTCATGAACGGCATCAAGCTGTTCGGCAAGTCGCTGCGCGTGAACAAGGCGTCGGCCGACAAGCAAAAGGGCGCCGACATTGGCGCCGAGCTCTTCATCGGCAACCTCGACCCCATGGTGGACGAGAAACTCCTCTACGACACCTTCTCCCGCTTCGGCCCGCTGCTGAGCCTGCCCAAGGTGGCCAGGGACGACAGCGGCATGAGCAAGGGCTTCGGCTTCGTCAGCTTCGGCGACTTTGAGAGCAGCGACGCCGCCGTCGCGAACCTGGACGGGCAGTACATGCTCAGCAAGGAGGTCAGCGTGCAGTACGCCTTCAAGAAGGACGGCAAGGGGGAGCGCCACGGCGACGAGGCCGAGAGAGAGCTGGCGAAGCAGGCCAAGAAACGTAACATTGTGCCCGAGGCCCAGGCCCTGCCGGCATTTGTGACGCAGCAGAGCCAGCCTCAGCAACCGCCGCCTGCGCCGCCTCAGCAGCAGCAGCAACAGCAACAACAACAACATCAACAGCATCAACCACCACAGGGCGGTCAGCAGCCGCCGCCTGTTCCCGCCGGTTTTGACCCAGCCATGATTCCTCCCCCGCCCGCCGGGTTGGGCGCCCATGCGATGCCTCCAATGGCGGCGCATCACCACGCGCCGCCGCCGCCGAAGCCGCGCGCCGCCGCCGCCGATGCCGCCAAACTTCCACCGCAACCCTCCTCATTCTCAAGCTCGATCGTCGGTTCCTCTGCCTCCCCCGCCCACAGGACTCCCCGCTCGGCCGCCGCAGAGTCAGAACTACACCAATCCTGCCGACTTTCACCCCGGCGCATTCCGACCTCCTTCTGGATCACCAAATCCCCCAGGATACCCCGTGGCACCACCTCCTGGCTTCCCAGCCGCACCTCCAGGAGCTCCGGGACAGCAAGCACCGCCAGGAGCAGGGCCACCTGGGTTCATGCCACCGCCCGGATTCCAGCCTCCTCCAGGCTTCGGACGTCGTTGAACTAGGAGAGAAGGAGAAGAAGAAAATAAATTTGTGTATCACCAGGCTTTTTTGTAATATTAGCGGCTCCATTTATGTAATTAGATCAAGGGAAACGGTCAGATACCTCCAAAGGGCACGAAACGGAATGAACCAAAATCATGATCAAGACAGACATTGTTTCATTGTTTCCACGTCTATGCTAGTGAACCATACAGGCAGGGCCCTTAATGGACGTTAGGTATCTTACAAATCCAGCGCCAAACAAGACTAGTATCCCTTTCTCCCGCCATGCAGCCAACTTGCCAAACTCGACAGAGAAAGCCAAACAAGTGACAAGTTGAAAGTCTTTAAAAAACGCAAACAACAAAACGCCCGAGTCCTTTGATGCAAAAAAAAGAAGAAAAAAAAGAGCACAACTATAATAACGACCTCCCCTTACCAACTCCCTGCAAATGCATCCTTGGCCTCCCTTGTAGCCTTCTCCCACTCTTGAATGGATTCGTCTCTGTGGCCCTGGACCTCGTACGACTGCGCGAGCATGCCGTCCGCGACGCTCTGCCACAACATGTTGCCGCTCCTCTGGGCTTGTTTCGACGCCGCACGCGCACTCTTCAGCGCCTGTTCCCCGATGACGTTTTCAAAGAACCGGCTTCGCATGATGCATAGCGTGACTGCCGCTCCCAGGATATTGTTGGTCACCTTGGACCCGGACATGGCCGCCTGGATGTGCTGCTTCTGCTGGTTCAGCTGCTGTGGGGGATCTGTTTCCAGCGCGGCAACGACATTATGCCACGCAGTGCGCAAGTCAATGTTCCAGTGATTCGAGCAGAATGGCTGCAGTTGCTCAATCAGCTCATGCGTCTGGTAGTCGTTTCTGCAACTGGGGTGTTGCATGATCCACAGGCGGTTCAGACCAGCAAGGAGCGCAATTTCTTGCTGGCCAGCTTTGCTGCTGCCCGATGTTTGGGCTATATCGAACCGTCCCTCTAGGAAGATGGCCAGGGCGGCTTCGAGGTTGCCCGTCCCCTGGTGGTACACGCCGGTAAGATAGGTGGAGAGGAGCCCTATTGTGAGCTGTGTAGATGGTGTAATTAGAGTTTCGAGTTTTTCCATGAATTGCTTCACTTTGCCCCATTGACAGTGGCTTGCTGCCAGGAGACCTAGTAATACATTAAGATAAGCTTGGGCTTCTGTCCGCCATGATCGTTGTCGAATGGCTGTCGACAACGACACAGAAGGCCCATACGGAATACCAGAGGTTGAGCTGTCCCCTGTCACATTGTTAGCTTTGGACAGTTGCCGAATAAAGCATTTCGGCTGCTGCTCACAGGTATCGAGAATCTTGGCGCCTTCTAGCCAAAACTCGGTAGAGCGTCGTCCTTGTGACGAAGGTTTGTGCATGTTGGCCAGTCCACTGAAAGTAAATCTGCAGAATCAAGTTAGCAAATAATGCGCATCTTCTGGATTCTTGGAACGTACACAAGCGACCGTAGCTCTACTTTGGTCATAAACGACATTACAATAAAGTCAACATCTCCGTCACCCTCGCCTGCCAGACGAATGATGCCCGACGTTTCCTCGCTAACAGGACGGGTATTTGAAGGCTGCTTCTTGACAGGAATCAGAAAATCCGCCTTGACATTATTCCATTCCTCACATGCGTCTAATTTTTGCTGCAGTAATCGGAGTTTCTGCGCCGTCGTGTCGGGACTTTGACGGTATAGACTAGACGCAAAGTCCAAGACCAGAGTCAACATTTCTAGTTGCATAATCTTGACAGTCGGGTCGAATTGGAACTTGGCTACTTGAGCAATGCAAGATTGCACACGCTCGATGTTGCTATCTTTAGAAGTCTTGAGGAGCGCCAGCCCTTCCAGGATTGATGCAAAAACGGTCATAGCGTTGTCGCCTCTGGAGGTGGCAACATTTTGGACGGCCCGGATGTTTTCCAGCGCAGCGGCATCTGAGGCGCTTCCCATGGCCATGTAAAATGTTGACTTCAACAGACGAAAGGCGTAGTACCATTGCACGTGTTTGAATCTGTAAAGTGTTAGCGTTTGCCAAGATGACAGCGGCCAGTTTGTCTTACGCCTCGCAGTCAGATATGTGTCCGTCAACCGCTTTCAGGGCCGCCTTGTGATTGCGTTGAAACAGAACCTTCAGCATTAGATACTGCATGCAGTTTTTCAAGTCGATTAAGCGGTGCTTGAACTGTTAGCAAAGTCCCAGCCCACCCAGAGTTTTCTGTTAGCCTACCTTGTCACAGAGGCTGATACCCTTCCCAAGGGCCGTCTCCGCTTCCATCAAGTTCTCCGTCTCTTCGTGCAAAATAGCAGCATATCTCATTCGCAATCGAGCCTCTTCCCTTGGCGCAAGCTTGTTGTTTTGCATGACTGCTTCCAGACATGACAGGCTCGTGGCTATCAACTTTTGGTATTCGTCTACCTTCTCAGGGTCAAGGGACATGGCCACGTCGTGTACGGAACTGCGGGCTTTTTCGAGACATTCTTCAGCTATCGCGACCATTATGGGGATCGTGTTGACGCGAGGTTTCGGAGCTGGTGATCGCTTGGTAATACTTGGAGATTTTGTAGAGAGGGCGGGAGAATTGGTAACAGATGAGTGCGGACTAGACTTGATGCGCATGGGTTCATATTTTGGTTCTTGCTTAATTTCCGGCTTCATTTCTGGTTTAACCGCAGTGTGCACTGTGATTGACTCTTGCACTGGTGACGATTTCACGCTGATGGTTGGTTCAGATGGTTTGACGGTGATAGAATCTTCCACGGGCTCTGGGTCGGGTTCCTTCTTACCCCAGCTGTTGGGGTCGCCCATGGGGAGAGGCGGTAATGGAGGAGGCGGTGGCGCGTTAAATATATCTAATGGGTTGACAAAGTTGATGGGTTCTTGAATTGCAGGCGGCAGAGGAGGCTCATCTACCGGTACATCGAGTATTGGCGCAGGAGCAGGCTCAGGCTCAGGCTCCGGCTCCGGCTCCGGTTCCGGCTCGGGTACAGGTATAGGCGGCGGTTCTTGTACCTCTTGTACAGGTTCCGGAGCGGGTTGTTGTTGGGGAGGCGGCGGAGGAGTAGGCGTGGGCTGAAGTCGTCGATGCTGTGGTTGTGGTGGTGTCTGTGACTGTGTTGGAGGTTGTTGAAGAAGCATCTGGTTTTGCACAGGGGTACTAGATTTCATCCGCGGCGGCGGCGGCGATTGAAACTGGTGCTGTAACTGCTGTTGTATTGGAGATTGCATCGCCTGCTGCCCCGTTTGTCCTTGTAGTGAATGCTTCCTCTGCATTTGTGACGGTAATAACGGCGAGCCTCTCGGTTGCGGAGATGCGCGCTGTTGATGTATTTGCGGCGATCGAAGAATTTGTTGGGTCGCCTGTTGTTGCTGCATCTGCTGCTGTTGGTACATTCTCTGCAGCATGTGGTCTGGTGCCTGCGACTGTTGCGATTGCAACATGTGTTGAGCATGCTGTGGTGTCTGTGCCATTCCCGTCAAACTTGGCCTCGGAGATGGATGACCCGCGTATTGCTGCTGTTGCGACACCGGCTGCGGCTGCGGCCATGAATGTTGCTGATGCATATGCTGAGTCTGCCTCATCATAGCTTGATAGTCATGATATCCGCCGCCGCCGCCGCCGCCGCCCATAAAACGCGCTGCTGACTGCTGCTGTTGCTGTTGTTGCTGTTGCTGCTGCTGCTGTCGGGCCATCTGCATTCGCAGCATCTCCTGTTGATGCACAGCATATTGACTCTGCTGTTGAACGAATTGGTTTTGATGCTGCTGACCATAGAACTGGTCTCCTATGCCATTTACATACAGCCCTTGATGATTTTGTTGCGGCGGCGGCTGGGGTTGCGGCTGCTGAAACTGGGATTGCGGCTGCTGAAAGTGTCCCTGGTGTTGGTAGCCGCCCATCGGACTGCCATACATCTGGTGATGGTCCTGTTGCTGTTGCTGGCCTGGGAAACCCGGCTGCCCCGTAGGCAGCGTGCCTCGGTAGGTCATATCCGCCGTGTCTGCATCAGACTCTGAACATGGACTCGGCCGACACCAGGATACAAGATGAAGGGTCTAGGAGTAAAAGATGCCGGGGTTCAGAAAACGCCAGCGACTTGTCAGGAGCAGAGGAACTGAAGCGGCCCTCAATGGGTTTGTGCACCAAAGAAGCGCGAACAACGACTCGTTGTGCTGAGCAGAGGATGGGTTCGAGATCGCACTTCAAAGTGTCATGTTCCGACTGACTCGTACGTCTCGCGATGTTCGCGTTCTCCGGTTGGGGGGTGGTGGGCAGGTTGGCTCGAAAGCGACTGCGCGACGCGCGCGCACTGTCAGTAGCGACGGGCAAAAAATAGAAGAAGACGGCAAAATCGGAGTGGTGTGTTTTTCGTCAACAGAAGGCGGCGATGGTGTCGTGAATTCCGGGGACGAGGGTGGATGGACGATGGGCGCAGGCCGACGACGTTGGGGTTGCGGCTCCGGAATTGAGGTTGTATATCGACTGCTTGGGAGCCCAAGACTCGAGGTCAGTCGTCAATGGTCAGTTGCCAAATGGTTGGTTGGTGGTGGACGGTCCTGGTCCGGTGTTTTGTCCCAACATGGTTTAGCTCGACAACTGCATCCTCAAGTGCTCTGAATGGCTCTGTGGTGCATTTGCGGAAGGAGCGACGCACTGCTCCTTCCAAACCCGCTTATGGCGCTTACGCCCCCGCGTCAATCCCTGAGAAACAGCACGCATCTCCGTGCATCACCAAGCAACAGCGCACCGATATACACCATCGCTACATTGACTGATGAATCAATTTTGTTGTTCCGAAACCATTAAATCTGTACACGCTGCAAGAGGCTACGAGTGATGGGGACTGCTGAAAAGCGCAGGCACTTGCGCTGGTTGCAACCAGTCTCTACGGGTCTAAACAATCGATATTGTATCGAGGAATGCTCCGGAGCCTGCCATAGCCGGACCTTAAAAGTACCCGAGCTAGCTACTCTGCAAGATCTTTGATAGAAAACTCGCAGTAGGGCAATCGTGAGCTAGTTTACCGCACCATTTGTTCAAACATCATCCATCCCTGACCTTGGTCGGTCCCAGTTGCAAAATGTCATGTCGTCATTGCTAACATTAAAAAAGTAAGTGAACCTGAATCTACAAACTATGATACAAGTTATGCACAATTTTTCCAAACACCATGAGCCTAATATGTCCCCTCCGATTAAAATCAAATAACGAATTTGTTAGCAATGATGGCCAGTCAAATCCCCAACGCCGTTGTCTGTATGTATTGCGGTCCTCAGTTTTGACGCTAGTCTTGCGTCCATGGCTGTATCAAGAACGCCCCTTCAGCTCCCTGAGCCGAAATCAACATGTTGTCGCCCCTGCATTCCTTCGCCATCATGTCCATGGCGCTTCCATTGCCTCTTTAACCGACACAAATCCACTCGGCAAACACGCACCAACGGGCGGTACGGTCTGCTAACACCAGTCCTCTCCATACGCCCCTCTCAGAGCATTTGATGATGGTCTCCCATGTCCCACCATCGCTGACATCTTCGTCACCGGATAGACCCTTGCTGCCAGCAGCTATGCCCTTGCGGTCTTCCTTCCTCATAAGACGGAGGATCTTGCCGCCTGGCGTTTGAATAGCCAACTTGGCAGGCTTCTTTCCTGCCACAGTGCCGCTTGCTGAACTGGGAGTTGATCCGCTCATGCTCGAGGCGTTCATGCTCATGGCCGAACTCGGCCGTGCAAAAGGATTGGGGCTCGTTCGTCCAGGGTTCGATGCCGGGGTTAACGCCGAGTTGGGTCCGCTCAACGTCGAGCTCGGGTGCTGTCTAATGGCGAAGACAAACGTATTGTTAAGGGCTAATCTTTGGCATTGAGGCTGCACCACATAAATGTCGTGACGTTGAGCATGCGGAGTAGGATGTCGGGTAACAAAGTCGTATGGCGGATTCTCTCCAGTGTGCACAATGGGAAGTGCGAATGCCAACGGATGAGGGATGTCTTTGATGCTGTGCATCAATCCACGCTTACCAGCATAGATTTTCAGTGTACCTTGACCCTCATCCCCTGGAAGAAGGGCCTTGACCGTGTATCGCTTCACCCCATCATACCACTCTGCCTGTGCCAGCGCTCTCTTCTTTAAAACATCACCGCTTTCAAACACGTCGCCATCTGCGTCCCGAGTATATGCTCGAGCTTCCACCTCCGCAGCCACCTCAATGTCGGCTGGCACATTGAACTTGATATGAACCATTTCAAGATCTTCGATCCTCGTCACGGCCGTGTTGTAGTCAACCATTTCAATCTCGTTGCGGAAAAATGACGGACATGTGCAAGGAAGGTTGAGCAATATCTCGTGGGCCACAGGGGGCACGATGTGCTGCTGATCATGATGCTCTGGAACATGTGTCCAGCACACTTCTGTCGGTCGCGCGAGGAACCACCAAGAGTCAGCCGTCGCTCCATTAGCACTAGAGTATAGGCCACGCTTGGGATTTGAAGGGCTCGCCAAACAGCAGTCGATGATGCGCCACTCATTGTCAACAATGACGGCATTCCACCAGTGATTTGATCGCGGCATCATGTTGAGATCGGCTACGTCACCTGGGCTCTTAAGATAGCCCCGGACAATCTCACACTCCAGTCCAACGGCCGCACACATCTCCATGACGAGAACTGCGTATTCTTCGGCACATGCCCTCTTGGCCTGGATAACGCGACGCGTGTCAATATCGCCCTCAAAGTCTTCCTCCCAGCAGATCTTTTCAGATACCCATGTAAAAATGGCTCGCAGACGTTGCACATCGCTCCTGTAAGGTCGACACACATAAGTTGTTGCTAGTTGAATAGCGGTTGTCATGGGTGGCAAATCCGCAATAAACCGTGAGTTCTTGTCCACCTGGCTCAGATTTATCGATTGATAGTTTATTGCCTCTCTCACTGGCATTCCATCTGCTGCCTCGTCGCCCTCAATGCCCTCGTACATTTCATCCACTGGATTTAAAACAGGATGTTCCATCATCTGGCAACGATCTTGGCGCTCGTTTCGCTCTGCTTTGCTTAAAGAATTTGACCTGTTCACGTCACGACGAACCTGGACCCAGTCCACGCTGCTACCACCAACAAGGCCCATATCTCGGGCTGCATTGCTCCCGTAGTCTGGGCCACTGATACCAGTCATTCTTGAGCTCATGGCAGATGGCGCCACAGAAGGCCGTGGTCGGTTGAATGGCGATGCCCTAACTGAATTGCTTCCAGCTATCGAGCCTGCTGCAAGGCTGCCTCTGTTGCTCGCAACGCCAGTCTTGGCAGAGTCAAAGATCTTCTTGAATATGTTTCGCTTAGGCGCCTTGGGTTGAACCAGCCCTCCTATACCTGCTGTCAGGTCATCTTCCAAGCCGGTCTGAGCCCTTGGTCGACCGTTTGCGGCGACATGGCTGGCATGGCTGCTGTGATAAGTGACACCAGTAAAGGGGGAATCGGGACGATCCAGCTCTGCTTCACGAGCGTCCATAGCACTCTGTGTGCGCATATGCTGACGAGCCATACTACCAGCACTGGTGGAACTGATACCACCAGCCGAAACACCACTCCAGAGAGTCCTTCCACTACTTTGGGTGGATGAGCTAGTGTGGCTTTGGTTGCCTGTTGAGGCGTTGGTGGTGTTGGTTCTGGTCGTAAGCGTTCTTCCAACACTCCCACTCGCGGCGCCTTTTCCGCGTCCTATTTCATATGCAGATTTTTGAGTTCTCAGTTGCCGTGGATGGCCAGCAGGCTCACCAGCCGAGGATCTAGGTCTTTGATAAGGCTGGCCTTTGGGCGGTGGTGGTGGAGGTATATCTTCTTCAGCATCAAGATCTATGTCTGCTGCCATACTTGCACTCTTGCTATGATGATGCATGGTCTGGAATTGTTTCTCCATGCGCTCCACGTAGTTGCTTAACTCAGGCAGTTCGTGCTTCTGACCTCGACTACCATTTTGAAATGATGTTTCTTGGGAGGATCCACCACTCCAGGTTTCATAGCCTTCATCGTGGTGAGCTATTCCCGTGGATGTAAGAGGTCTTGTCGTCACTGAACCCTTTCGCCTCGATTTGTGTGCAATTGCATCAAAGGATTCTGGTGCCCAGGGGTCAAGCGGCTGCTCCACCACTTCTGCTTGCTGGACCTGCTCGCCATCCCAACTGCTTCCAAGCCCATCCAGCTGGTCTAGCTGTTCCATGACACTGTCCATCGCTTCCCTGAGTGGCGATGGTGTCATGTGAAGCTCATCTGGGGAGTACTGGCGTGGCGATCGACCTTGAGGGGTATAGTCTCCATTTAACTCACGCTGATGCATCTCAATATGAGGCGCAGATGCGGCGTGTCTCGGGGTCTGTGGCGGGTGGTGGTACGACGCATTCGACTCATGTCTTGTCATGGCGGCAGGAGAATATGGGTGGAAGGAAGCATTTGACGCATGCCGTGACATGTCAACTGGTCGGCCCCCGCCGCCGACATGCCGATGAGGTGGTGGTGCCGGAGGAGGAGCAGAATCTCTGTCAGGTGTGCTTCCACGATCTCGGTAGGTTTGTGATGGCGCTGGTGATGGCGCTCGAGAGCCATATCCGTGAACTGTAGGCGGCGATGGTACCCTTTCAATGGTATCATGGACTGATCTGCTAAAAGAGCCGCCAGACTTGTCTTTGGCTCGTTGGTGCTGAACTTTGGGAGCAGGGGCTCCTGCCGCAAGCCGGGTAGAGACAGGGGCTGGGGTGGCAGCTGGGTTGACCTTGGAAGGATCGCGATAGGATGTTGGTTGCTTAGCGGTAGTATAATGGGGAGCCTTTGCGTATGCTTCAAACGGCTTGCGGAAAGTCTTTGACTTGGCAGGTGTGTTTTTGGGACTGGGCGTATTGCTTCCTGGCAGGGGGCTGACTGATCTCGTCATGGGACGAAATTCCTCAGGGAGGACTTCGACAAAGTTGGAAGGAAAGGACCCAACCGTCCTTCGATCTCGGTACAGACGACCAACCCACCACGATCCGTCACCGGCGTTTAGACACTCGATCAGATCTCCCTCAATGAAGCCTAAGTCCCGTTTCGACTATCGGCATGTTAGCAATTCTAGGCCCTCGAGGCAATCCGCAAACACCCGCACAGTTGGCAGATGAAGAATAGAGCAAAGGTGCTACACAGACCTCTCCACCCCATGAATAAACAGCTCTACACCAGCACGGAAACCTCGCTGGGAGCGCCTGTGGTGCAGGCACCATCGTGGAACTAAGTTGAGGAAGGAACGAAGCCGTGCAGTCGAGGACTTCACGTCAACGTTGGCAGATAATGGTCTATGCGAGGCAATGTTTGTCGTCGATTGGTGATGGGGATGCCGCCGTGTTGCATGCAGATTTCGTGCTGCGTTGGTCCGTGGATGCTGAGCAGGTGATATTTGTTGCAGCAACAAGTCGTTCAGGTGGGCCGAGGAGAATAGTTTCCTCCTTCGCCCTGCATAGTCGTCCTGGTCGTCACTTGATACGACAAAGTCAAGAAGGAAGAAAACAGTGAGAGAAAAGACCAGGAAACAGCCGGTAGGAAGATGCCAAGCTAGGGGGCTAGTGGCCAATCTAACTTTGCAAAAGACGTTGAACAATGAGAAATGGCTCTTGATATGAAACTATGTGTCTGCCAGCTGTGTATGGTCTCGCTGCCGGTCACTTGACCAGAATAGTCGGTCAGTTGCTTGACAAGCGACTGGTCTATTTGCTTGGAGCAGGGCAACGGCGGCAGCAACAGCGGCGCCCGACAGCTTGCACAAGACGTCAAGCCCCGGCAGGCCATTCGAACAACAGAGGGGCAGCAGTAACCGGGGCAACGCATATCGCACGCCTCAACGGGGCACTGGGGTCGAAGGCAACCGGGCCCTCAACTGGCCTCTAAGGGCCTCTAGGCCGCCACTAAGCCACCAGACATGCACCTCCCACGCAGCAAGGCGCTAAGGCCCCAGAGCCCCAGCGCTCTGCACTCACTAAATCGGGAACTGGGCCCGTGGAGGCCGACGACAGCCAATGACCGGTCGTCAGTACCTCGACTACCCGCAAACTTCGGGCAGATTCACACACACCCCGTATGTTCCACGGGGCATTATATTACTTATTATTGCCCATGAGCTGAGTGTGATGCAACATCGACCATCTCATACTAGCCTGCCGGCACGCCACTTGACGTGGTGGCCGCTGGGGCGACGGCCGTCCTGTAGTACGCTCTAAAGCTGGCTTCGTTCCAACGCACAATCCAGATGCGCCCACACGACGCTTTTGCGCGTTGGGCCATAGCAATTGTCAACACCATTGCAGGCCTTGTCACGATGCGACAAAAGACGGAGGGAGCCCTCGACTATTAGCCTTCTCGACGACTTTCTCTATTATGCTGCCCGTCTTGACGAGTTGACACCCCGCCGCCAAAACCACCCCGGCAAACCACCCCAGTCGCAGCTATCCAAAAAAGGAGATTTGTAAACAAAGCAGAGGTCCAAGCTCTCCGCCCAGCCCTGCCGCTGTCCCAGACAACGAACGACCTCATTAAAGCAAACCGGGCATCGCCCTGGCTCAAACTGCCAGCCAGGTGCTCCGAAGTCTGCGCCTGGGTAGCCATTCCGGCCGATTACAGGTAGTATTATCTGGCCGCGCGACCCGGCTCGCATCCCTTTATTCTCCTCTCCCCCGTCACGACCTCGATATCTTTACATTTACCGCATCGGTCGCCCTCGCGCAGCCCTCGTGTCTGTTGCCTGAGATTCCTGCTCCAAGGCATTGCCGATTCGGATCGCCACGGTTCGTCTACAGGCACAGCATCGGCCTTTTCCTGCTCCAGCCCATTTCGAGAAGCGGCACATTGCATGACGTCAAGACAAAATGGCCGATGAGGGTGTTGCAGAGCACTATCAGGTCTTGGAGGAGCTTGGCCGTGAGTTCAAACGTTCCCAGCAGGCTACCTGGTCGCCGTGTCAAACAGCCGCCATGTTTTACAATCAAAGCTAATGCGCACCTCCAAATAGGTGGAAGCTTCGGTGTCGTCTATAAAGGCATCGAGAAGGCAACAGGCGAGACCGTGGCCATCAAACACGTACGTACCCGTCCAGCCTTACGATGAGCAAGCACAAGCAAACAGCTCATGCCATGTCCCATTGCTAACATTGTGCGTCTATACATAGATCGATCTCGAGTCCAACGATGATGACATCCAAGATATCCAGGCGGAAATAGCCGTCTTGAGCACGTGCTCCAGTCCGTATGTGACACAATATAGAGGCTCGTTTCTTCGGGGACATAAACTTTGGATTGTCATGGAGTACTTAGGGGGTGGTTCCTGTCTAGACCTGGTGCGTTTGACAGTACTTGTCGGTGTCCCATGCGCGTCGTTTGAATCAACTAATCAAGCCTTCAACAGTTGAAACCTGCCAACTTTGACGAGACACACATAGCCATTATTTGCCGTGAGCTGCTTTTAGGCATTCAGTATCTTCACACCGAGGGCAAGATTCACCGAGACATCAAAGCTGCCAATGTGCTACTCTCTGAAACGGGCAAGGTCAAGCTGGCAGACTTTGGAGTTGCCGCTCAATTGACCAACATCAAGTCACAGCGAAACACCTTTGTCGGTACCCCCTTTTGGATGGCTCCAGAAGTTATTCAGCAAGACGGGTACAGCTTCAAGGCAGACATTTGGTCTCTAGGCATTACCGCCATGGAGATGGCCAACGGAGAGCCACCGCTGTGTCACATTCATCCCATGAAGGTTCTTTTCCACATTCCCAAGAACGCACCTCCACGACTCGAGGGCGACTTTAGCCGAGACTTTAAAGACTTTGTAGCCCAGTGCCTCACCAAGGACTATGAGCGCCGACCTTCAGCAAGAGATTTACTGAAGCACCGCTTCCTTCGTTCTGCTGGGAAAGTTGAAGCTCTGCAGGAACTCATTGCCCGCCGCCAAATGTGGGAGGCCAATCAGAATCGTCAGAAGCATCCCATTTACTACCAAGAGACCTTGCAAACAATATCACCAAAGGATGAAGACCAAGAGTGGGTGTTTGATACAGTCAAGTCGGTTGCCCCCGCACCGCCCAAGCGGCCAACCATCAGACATCGCAAGCCTTCGTCGATGCTGGCCACTGAAGAAGGTTTGCGCAAGCTCGACATTGCCGAGGGGCCACTTGGCCCATCATCACCGGCGACTGGCACGATGCGCAAGTGTACCGTTCGCCGCACTCCATCACTTGCCCATTCCAACTCCATCCGATCCAGCGGATCGCCGCGTCCCACAGTCGCACCCAAGAAGCCATTGCAGCCCGACATGTCTTTTGGAAACTCGGGTTCGACTATGCGTTTGTTTCGGCGTGTTCCATCAGACAGCTCAACCAATGGCCAAATCGGAAGACCATCCTCACCCGATGATGTTTTCTGCGACGAGAACCTTCCCCCCCGTATTGCGTCGCCTGTCGAGCCTTACGGCAAGGAAGCCATCCTTGGCAGACGCCTGTACAACAAGGCCGTAGAACCCACTCTGGCTGAATTACATGCTCAGACATCCGCTATGCAAAAGAGAGAGGCTCTTGCTAAACTGTCGGACGCTTTTGCGTCCCTGGATGCTGTAGACCCAGAGGGGGCATATCATCTCATGAGCAATCTCGTTGCATCCATGTCACAAGACAACAAGCTCAATTCCTCGTTTCTACGGCAGCCGATTCAAAAGGCTCCAGACGACGGAACTCCCTTAGGAACGGTCATTGTCAAGAGCTCTGCACCTTCCCTAGCTAGTCCTACCAAGCTGATCCTCAGTTCCAACAATCCCCATCTTAAGAGCCACCGTCGACGCCAAGCCGAGTCTCCTCGAACCAGTCTGACAGAGAAGGAACTTGAGAGGGAGAAGTCGTCTCTCCTAGAAGAAAAGTATCCCGGTCGTGATGCACTAAGTGGCATGGAACACTGCAAACAGTTGTCTGATGTTCTATATCAACGATGGGCTGATAACCTCCGCATTCGCTGGCCAGCTGTGTAAACGATATTTGCCGGCTGAGATTCAGCCTGGCGTACTAATTCATGACAATGGAGGATGAAATGCGCCTGTTCATGCAGGGCATGAAGATGTTTCATACATTTTTTTTTTTGGTTTGTCAGCCCGCTTCTTTTTCTCTTTTTCCTATTTCCCTTTCATTTTGGCATGAATACCCTTGAGTGTATGATTTGAGTAGCGCGACTGCATCGACTTTGCATAGCCCGGCTCGGAAAACATAAAACGGTTGCAGCATGCATTTTAGACATGGACAAACATGTGGGATGCAAACATACATGGACAACGTTCCATGTACAAATGGCAGGTTCTATGGCTGCCGTTTGGTGGTAATGTGGATATATTGCTTGCTGTTTTATGGGATTCCACCGGAGCATGGCGTTGGGGATTTGGGAATTTGTGCTTTGGATTTGTAGGTAGATCTAGGTAGAATGTGTGAATAAATCAATTGCACACAATTTCTGCCTCATTCCATGATTCATCATGTAATGTGTTTGTCATGTTTTTATATTGTGATTCAAATCTTGGGCACACCAAGACGAGTACCTAGATGTTCATTCAATGCATTCAATCGTTTTCAGGTACCTGTATATCGTATGACGCAACTGTACATATGGGAGTTTGTTTTCGACAAGACGACGGGTAGATATTGGCAACGACTACAGTCATCTTGCTAGATAGAGGCGCGCAAGGGCTAGGGTTCTGTGCTCGGGCCGAGGGATAGCTTGATTCGCCAGTTTTTGAATTCGTCAGAGAGAATGTTGCCGTGGCCTGTTTCTTCGACCTTGAAGACTTCGATTGTGGGGGAGGCCGGGTGGCGGCGTATGCGCCAGACGCCCTCGTCGTTGATTGTGCTTTGAAGAACTGTGGTTCGATTCCGTGGCTGTCAGCGAGTTCTCATGACTGCAATGGATGATGATTTTGTCGTGTGGGAAACAGTGACGGACCAAGGTTCGAAGAAGACAGGATAAAACAAGATTAACAAGATGAGGAAGAGATGGGGGGGGGGGGGCGGGAACCATCCGAAGAGACGAGCAAGACATGGGCTTACATTCGAGGAACTCGCCCGCAAAATTCACACACATGTCTGCATTCCACCGCGCGCCTTGCCTCGAATTTACCGTTTGCGGAATGTTGTGCGTCTCGATCTCCTTGACGTCCACTAGGACGCCGTCTCTTGTGCGGAAACCCACGATTATCTTGGGGACGC